CGGAGCAGCGCTCTTTTTGTGCTTCAAGTTTCAGTAGGTTTAGAAAATGTCCTATTTGTGGTAGTACTTTCCTCAGATGCGCCTTGTAAGTCGTGAGCTTGGCTAATGCTACAATAAAAATTTCAACGCTACTCAAGCTTTGAAAGGTGGGAAATATTCACTGCCTCTTGTCACGGTTAAGTATTACGTTAAATTCCTCGGATATTTTGGTGACAACGCCTCTGAGGGAATCCCGGGTTTTTAAATATCCCCAATATAAACCTATTAATGTTTCAACTGAATGCAAGCAAAATGTGCAGTAACTGCTTTCCAGTTGACCAATGCTGTGTAGATAAATATTTGTTGAGATTATTCTGTTCATCATGCGAAATGAAAAACGATCTGCTGTTTAATTGTCTACAGCTATGCAAAATTTTGCGCGGATGCGTCGCGACACTCGGAAACTATTCTGCAAATACTTTTGAGGGGTCAGTTTGACCGCCCACCCGAGCGCGTGTTAAACCTATAATTCTTCACGAAGTTAATTACGTCTCGTCTTTTATGCTGCCCCGCCAGGCCGCGGCAGTTCATAGACATGAATCTGAGCTCAGTCATGATTTGGACGGTTTCCTATCAACAATAAGTGGATGTAACGGTGCAAGTACGCCCACGCATGGACAGGTGTGTATGCGTACGTGCATTCGTGCGTGCGTGCGTGCGTGCATGTGCGTGCGTTGTGTGTGCTAGAAAAGCAGTACAACCTTACTAGAGGCCAACTGCCCAAGGCCCGACAACGATCAGTTGTTTCCCCAAAGCACACAAGTTCCAAAAAGGAAAACTCTACAGATGGAACATTCGAAAAATACGATATGCACTTGTTACTAGTCTGAGGCCACCTGGTCAAGATTAGCTGATATTTAAGCGTCCATAGGGGTGGCAACAGAGCACGTTGGGATTTAGAAAACGTAAAAGCCGCCTACATCTTGAACAATGCAGATGACGCAAACACTTTTACTTGGAAGATACTTTATGTCGGCGCTCTTGGTTAGATTGCAGCCAATGAGATTCACGCAAGACACAGGGAATTATTTTGGAGTTTTTCGTTGTTTTTGTTTTGTTGTTTTTTAAGAACTTGAGGTTTACTTACATCAGACACTGACTGGCAGTTTTGCTGGTTTCATCCGCGAGACATATCCCGACAGGAAGTCCGGAAGGCGAAGGGGCCTTGCCAAACAGAGGTTCAGCAGGCAGCTGCTTAGTAAACAGCTGCCCGGCTGACCGCTTCGCCTCCCTCGGTGTCTCAACCGCAAGTCCCGTCGCAGATGACGCCTCAGCAGGGGGTCCAGCAGTTACTTAAAGACTCTCCCGCGCGTAGCTCGGATGCAACCGCCGTCTCAGCCGGCAGCACCGCTCCTTGCGGTGACCCAGCGGGCCGCTCCATAGCGGCCCCTGGCGCCACAACCAAACGCTCCCAAGCGGACCGAACGGCTGCCGGCTGGTCGCCGGCCGGGAGCCTGGCCCCCGGGCGAGTGAGACGCCAGCGGTCACAGGGCGGGCCGCCGCAGGGGCCGATGGCGCAGAGGCGGGCACAGGCCGAGCTGAACGTGGAGCAGGCGGCACGCCCCTCATGTCCAGTCCAAGCTGCTGCTGTGAGAAGACTTCTCGTTGTCGGAGAGTCTCTGCACATCTTGAAACAATGGATGCCCTTGTTGGTTTATACGGCCCAGATTCGTCCCTGTTTCTTAAGCAGCAGGAGCTTGTTGAATATTTCTCGCGTAGATTCCGTGAGGGATTCATCTACGAGCAACGCATCGCCCGGGTGCTGCCGTCTCAGCCTCAGTTTCGTGCGATCTTCGTAGATAGCGTTCCGAAGATGTTAATCCTTCAAGGCGCAAATGACAGAGTTGTTTGTCATTCTGCTGGCGATGCACTGCTGATAAGTTCGCTTTTGTGACGGTTTTTTCCGAGGAAGCTCTCAATTATCAGCTTGATGTCTTCTATTGACAGCTTCTATATCTTCGCCGTCCCTGCGTTTTCCGATTCCTTTACTTAAAAAAATCAAGTTTGCAGGCCGTCTCTGCCGCTCTAACTCCTCTACTTCTTCTTACAAGCATTCCACTGTCTCGTTGCATGACTGCAGATTTGCTTCCAGCTTCCCGATATGCTGGTCTCGGGTAAAAATCTCTTCTTGCATTTGGCCCAGTCTGTTTTGTAAGCCGACATCCATTTATCGATTTTTCCCCACAGTTTTGCGTTTGCTCTCACAATGGATGACACCATCGATGCTTGTATGTCGGCAAGTATGTCTCCATCTTCGACACTGACATTTTCCTCGTGTTTTGGTGACACCGCTCTTTGGCCTTTGTCCTCCATTACCGTTATCGTTGCACCCACCGACTGCTGTCGTTTTTTTTTTCTCGCAGCAGTGGTCAGACGCAGGACAGGCTCTTCCTCGTCATCTGCCGAAAGGAATGCTGACTCGCTGGCTGACATCATGTCAGGCACAGATGCAGCATTCCAGCTTCGGCTGAACTTTGCGTCACTATTTACTATCAGCTACAGCTAACCGAGAGGAGAGGGACAACAGAAGACCGCGTGCAAAAACGGTAATGTTGGAAGTACTCTGAATGTGGTGTTCATGAGGAACTGGGTTTTATTATCTGTGCGTTTGTCTCACATGACAGAAATTAAATTTGAACACACTTTTAGCAGGCCATATCTTGTTAAATAAGAACGATCAGAACATCCCGGTGTCAATGCTCCTATGCTGTTGGCCAAGAGATCATAAATAGCGCTGCCAAAGTGTCAGGCTGGAAATCAGAACAAGTACATAATGCTTTTGAGCTACGGTTTTGTTAACGCGCGGCCCGAGCGGCCGGTTGGATACGCTTCGCTCGGGTGGGGGTACAATTTGATCCCTCTGAAATATCAGGAACTAAAGAAGCTAGAAACACCAAATTCACAGGGCTGTGTCGACCTGTACATGAACTCACCTAGGTCAAAGTTGGATATTTCTAGGTTATGACCTTCCTGTCAAACTAAGGTCACGCAAGGTCAAATTCCAGGATTGGTCTTCAAATAGTCCCTAAAACCTAGATAAATGTTCTTAACAGAAAGGTCACATGCTCATCTAAAGTCAGTGATCCTTGTTTGACCTTTTTAAGGTCATGGTGACCAAAATCATGCAGCACCGCTTTGAGTTTTGCATTTGGATAAGTGACAAAGATTACGCTAGGCAGTATGTCCCTAAAAAAATGTTGACCTGGTCATTCTAGGTCAGTGAACTATTCTGACCTTTAAGCAGTCTATGTAAGGTGTATAATGTGGTTCTTGTTATCAATAATTCGAAATGAGCACCAGGAAATGCTCCATACAGCAAGCGCTAGGCTAATAAAACAGGTTGACTTTGACCTTGGTCTGACCTTCATACCTGACTCTAGGTCAGTGTCTTTTGTTCTTTCAATTGTTGTGTTTCCTAAGAAAGTATCTCAGAGCTGTATGATTTCGTCTAACACTCCGTTGTTGAATCTGATTGATCGATCTCCCTAGATATTGCCTTCGCTGAAATCGTGACCTGCATTTTGACCTGCCATAGGTTAGCGACCTTACAAGGTACATCTAAATTTCTGATGGCAGACGCCCCGCTATTCAATTGTCTACAGCTACGCAAAACTTGGCGCCGCTAGGCCGCGCCGTACGGAAACCATTTGGCAAAAACCGTCTGGGGTCAATTTGACCCCCACCCGAGCGCGTGTAAAGGTGATGGTCTCCCACACTGTGTACGCAATGCTGTTCACTGGTACCCCAGCAGTCAACGAACCTTACACAGCAAGATGGCCCCCATACGGGCAGTTCCACAACTGTGGTACCACCGTCCTACTAGAAAGTTGTCCGTCCGTCCTGCGTACTACGTCCAAGAACGTCCTAATCCAACTCCTTTTAAGTAGAAACAAGGCACCCTTCATCCACGTTGAATGGCTAAGGGCTTGCCTTGACTTAGTCTGAAATACAGAGCTTTAAACTCCGGTCCTCCATCTATAAAAACATCAATAGACCCCCTCCTCCTCACTCTCCATATATGTTTATATATTGATATATATATATATATATATATATATATATATATAATCCTCTCTCCCCCACGCTCTCTCCCTCCCCTCCTTCTCTCTGCCTCTATCTCTGCCGACATCAGCTGATCAAACGCGACGTTCAGCTCTTGCACCATCGCCCTGGCCGCCAATTCCCTGACCTATGACTCCTGACCCTGCAGTCAGTATAAATGCCAGCGTCTCCCAGCGGCAGTCACCAGTTCCTGCACCGCCCTCACAGCAGCAGCGATGGGCCCTACACACCTGCTGGCAACGTTCGCTCTGGCCATGGTGGCCTCTGCAAGCCCCGAGGGCTATGAAACCGGGCCCTCGCCGGGACCGCCGGGACCTCCGGCCTCGGCGGAGCGCCCGCAGCCCTCACCAGAAGTCAGCGTCTTCAGCGGCGCCGTCGGGGCGTACAGCCCCGCCGTAAACAGTGGACAGAATGTCGGTGGCGGCGGAGGCAGAGTGGCATCGGTGGCTGGCGGTAGCAGCAGGTACACTCCTGGTGGGAGTGTGTACATTCCTAGTGGCAGCGGCGGCGGCAGGCTCGCATCAGCGGTCGGCGGTGGCGCGGGAGGCTACGGCGGCGGCAGGGGCAACGGCGGAGGCAGGTTCGCATCAGCGGTCGGCGGTGGCGCGGGAGGCTTCGGCGGCGGCAGGGGCAGCGGCGGCGGCAGGCTCGCATCAGCGGTCGGCGGTGGCGTGGGAGGCTACGGCGGCAACAGGGGCAACGGCGGAGGCAGGTTCGCATCAGCGGTCGGCGGTGGCGCGGGAGGCTACGGCGGCGGCAGAGGCAACGGCGGAGGCAGGTTGGCATCAACGGTCGGCGGTGGCGCGGGAGGCCTCGGCGGCGGCGGTGGTAGCAGGTTCGGGCCGGGGGTCGGCGGTGGTGCGGAAGGTATTGGAGGCGGTGGCGGCGGCGGACAGGGGATGCCCTACAACTACGGCTGGTCGGTACAAGAGCCCAACTCAGGCAACGAGTTCACGCACCAGGAGGGGAGTGACGGTGTGCTGACCTCAGGTCAGTACCGGGTCAACCTGCCCGACGGTAGGGTCCAGGTGGTGACCTACACGGTGCAGGGCGACAGCGGTTACCAAGCCGAGGTCACGTACGAGGGTGAGGCCCAGTACCCGCCAGTGGGAGCTGGTCAGCGGTACACGGGAGCACCTGGGAGCCCGCGCTATGTCGTCGGAGCACCCCAGCAGTTCGCCGGGGCAGATGGTGGCCTGAGGTACGGCGCTGGATCTGGCGGACAGTATGATATCGGATCTAGTGGGCAGAAGTACACCAGATCCGACGGGCAGAGGAATGTTGGATCTGGTGGGCAGCAGTACAGCACCGGATCTGGCGGGCAGCAGACCAGCAACGTATTCGGTGGACGGTACACTTTGAGTGGGCAGCAGCCAGTCTTTGCCTCCAGCGGAACCCCAGCAAGCCTGGAAGTGGTGGAGAAATCGGCTGGTGGAGGTAACCAAGGGAGAGGAGCTAGTAACGGTTCTCAACCGCGTACCTCCTCGCACTCTTACGGCGTCGCGTGATGCAGACCACTTGACGTAACCATCGACGCGCCCTTTTACTGATGGAAAAGGGTGTATGTCGTGTTTATTTATTTATGCTTGGTGCATTGGGATGATTCATGTGCGTGAGACGTGCACAATCTTCAACGTTACATTCCTTCCGGTGTGTACTTGGAGATATATATCAAGCACCTTCAAGAATGAGTGTTTTCAAGTTGTAAGCCTCCACGTGCCAAATAAAGCCCAATAAATAATAATTAGCTGTCATTTAAGACGAGCACTTTTGTTTATGCTTGATAATTTTAAGCTGTGCAATTACAGCTCGACCAATCACATGTTCAGAGGTTGCAAGCGCCCGCAGCTGAAACAGCTTCTTCTTGTTTAACTGCTGCTATGACATTGGATCATAATCGAGCCCACCATACTCCAAAGGTTTTGAGGTTATGGAGTAGGCTGCCTCGAATGCTGGCAATTTCTGGCTAAGACGGTAGTGCTTGCCTTATTCTTCGGAGATGTTGTTTGAAAAGGTTGAGAATCGGCCACTATCATTATATGTCAGCTGACCGTCCGCTTGCGGCTACACCTGTCGCGGAGTCATGGAGAGTGCCGGCCATAGTGAGCATGTGGTACAGTGCATCATACCTCTGGAGCTAGGTCTGCTGTTGGGGAATAGGTTGTTAAATTGCGTGAACGGGCCCAGACGAACGCAGTCAGTCAGATATCATCCTGTTGTGAGTCAAGGTAGGATGAGTCAGAGTCGGACGGTAGAATGAGTACACGCATCATCGCTGCGTCCTATGACTCTGCCACATTAAAGCATGTCGAGCACAGCTCTGCAGTGGTGCACATGCGTTACCTTACGTATTCGATATGCAATGTATGCTCGGCATCTGTAGATAACGTCATACGATACTGCTTGAATCCTGTGTATTATTCCCCACATCTGTACTTAAACCACTTACAGATGTCATATCACTGTCTAGTGATGAAGTCTATATATATATATATATATATATATATATATATATATATCGCCATATAACCGGGTCGGGTTAGATCCTATCTTCCAAAAAAATTATTGTTGACTGTATGATTGTAGCCGGATGTTAGTGACCACTTCTCATTCGTATGGAACAGTTGCTTCAATGGCCCAATTTTTCGATGATCTGCAGCAGACCCCACCACAAACATGAACAAGCTATTTTCGTATTATTTTGTGATTTCTTACTCCACCTAGAAGCAAACAAAGCGGTGGTCACATGGAGAATTTCATTTGTTTCGAACCTCATGAGCAACACGTCCCGTCTTCTTTTAAGGGAGCGTACCACTTTTGTATGCAGTTTTGATATGAAACAGTCATGTTGAAGAGCATTCAGCGCAGTTCACAGCCATGAACTAGATGTTAAGATCTTTTATTTTCTGAGCTGCACACCCGCGAAGGTGTGGAGACCATTTCGTTCAGACTATTTCAAGGTCACTCAGTCGCCCCCACGCC